GTAGAAAAAACAGGAGAGGAGACTATTGTTGTGTTCAGAAGCTGTTGGTAGGCTTCCCTTAAGCATCTGTTTGGCCATTGTGAGACCAGGACAGTGGATTTGACTTGAGTTTTATTTCATCTGGTTTAATAAAAATCACATTTTAATAATAAAAAAACGTATACCTGCCTTCCCAATGCATCATTTGGTTATGTTTTTATAATATATGTTGGAAGCTGCCCACTGTGGTTTGGGAACCCAGTCAACTATCTTCTGCAGAAGTTCAAGCAAGACAGCACTGGTGGCAGATAACAATGTTCTGGCATTTAACTGTCAAGGCCATGTGCCCAGTAGACCATTCTCATACAGAGTCTTCTATATCACATATTTCAGTCTCATATGCAGTAATATCAGGTTGATACTTTCCATGTTTGGGTTCCTGTATCAGCAGGAGGGACAAAGAGAAGTTGGACTTCCTTACCACTTGCAAACAATCTCTTCTCAAGAGTTCCTGCTTCGGACACTGAACTTTAGAAGGCAAGAATCTCATCCTGAGTTTGTCAAATGCTATCCTGAGACCCAATGTGGAATACAATCATCTTATCACATGATGCTGGCAAATGGATTACACAGAACTGAAGACACGAAGGAAGGATCCTACACATCTTGCTAAGAGCCATATGAGGCATCTTAACAATTTCTGAAAATCTTCCGATTACCTGCTTATTCCAGCACCACTTGCTGCTCCCACTCACCATGCTGGAGGGATGCTGATCCAAAGTTTCTGAGAGCAATGAGAATTGCTAATTTTGATGTCATTCATTAGCAAAGGTAAGAGGGGATCTGTAGCTGAATGGCAATGCTGTTCACCTTTGACTGATAGGTGGGACAAGCTAACTCCATGGAGTGTTCTGTTAGTAGGATAACCAGGTAGATGGCTGGTGAAGACGGCAGAAATTTTTGGTTCCCACATCCAGTCAGAGCAGAAAGTACTAGGCAAGATAGAGTAATGGTTTGTCTAATACATTCCACATTATAAAAAATCTTGCTGTCTGGCTAATCTATTGTGGGGGTTTTGTCTTCTAATTTTCATGTTTCTTAATAATCCCAATTCAACTTGAGTTTTATTTATCCACTTTTCTTCAAAATCACATTTCAATAACAATAAAATTATACATGCCTTCCCAATTCATTCTGGCTTTTGTTTCCCTAAACACAAGAGCTGTTCAACTCCTTCTCATATTCCTCTTCTCCACCACCCAACCAACCAATGTCCATGACACAAGAGGTTAGTTTCTGATTTTCAGCTGAGTCAGAGAGCAGAAGAGGAGAATTTGAGTTCTAAAGCGATATGCTTACTGATGTTGTGAATGTATTTTTTTTACTCAGAGCAAAGATCCACAACACATCGGTGAACTCCATTTCTCCTCTAAGCCTTTGAAACTGGTAAGTTGTGACAAACATTCCTGTGAACTATATTCCTAATGTGCTTGTTTATCAGTCATTAATTTCCACTATAGCATGTCTCTTTTGTTATTGTTTGATTTTCTCAGTTTCATATGGTTGAGCTTTACAGCCTAAACAGACTCCACATTTGTTTATTTTCTCCTGGTAGTAAGATCTATACAAGAAAAAGTACAGAAGTAGAGATCCAGCAAGATGAGCAATGATGGCCTGGGATTCTGGTCCACTTTGAATGCTTCATTAGAAGATATTGGAGCAGAAAATGAAACTGACCTCCTAACCCCCCAGGATGGTTTTGATCATGAATTATCACCATATCATATAGCAGAAATTCTTATCTTCATCTTCATTTTACTTCTTAGCATTTTTGGAATCATTGGGAATGGAACTGTCATCTGGTTTCTTGGCTTTTCCATGAAGAGGAATCCTTTCACCACCTTCATCCTGCAACTGGCTGCGGCTGACCTTGGGCTCTCATATGCTTATTTCCTTTTTCCTTTATAAATCTTCTGAGGTCATTTTTATCTTTACCTCCCTATATGCATTGGATTGAAACAGTGGTTTCCATTCTTTTTTCCTTCATGTACAACACTGGTCAATATCTGTTGACAGCCATTAGCATGGACAGGTGTGTTTCTGCTGTTTTCCCACTTTGGCATAGATGCCACCGACCACCACACCTTTCCACCCTTGTGTGTGCCACAATATGGATCATTTCTTTCCTGCTCACTGCAATCAACTTGATCGTTTCTATTTTTAACATTCTACCACATACCATTTTCTACCACCTTCTATTGAATGCTATACTTTGCCTCCCGCTCATGACTGTTTCCACTCTGGTCTTGTTTATAAAAGTTTACTTCAGATCACAACAGAGGAAGAAGGGAAAGGCTTTAACAGCCATCCTACTTGCCCTCCTCTTCTTCCTCTTCTTAGCTTTCCCACTTACTTGCATTTTATTAATCAGTTTCTTCACTTCACTTATAGACTATAATGTTGAATTTTTTGCAATGTATGTTGGGTTCTTATGCAGCTGCCTGAATAGCAGTATTAACCCACTGATTTATTTCCTGATTGGGAGAAACAAGAAGGCTCGATCTAGGGAGAGCATGAAGGTCATACTCCAGAGACTTTTCAAAGAGGAGGAAAACTGCAGAGAGGAACAAGAAGTTCCAGTTCCAACCTGCATGTGAAGAAATACTTCAAAATAGCTCAGAAAGCTTCATTTTCTATCTCTTGGTGCATTTCTTGGTACTTGTTTTCCTGTGTACTCACTATTTTATTATTTTGAATTCATTTACTCTGTTAATTTTTGTCCTTGTTTTAGCACTATCGTTAAAAGCCTCTTGGATTGCCCATTGGGCAGGATTAATGCTTTGCATGTTTTAGAAAATGAAATAAAAAGACATGCCTCTTTAACAGTGTGAGTTGAGTGGGATGATTTGCTAAATGGTATAGAAAACAGACTCATTGCCAAAGGGAATGAAGTAAAGAAATCTTCACATGTTGAGCTCGAATGTTTGAAGAAAACAGTAGAAAATATTTCTCCCTTATTTTTAAAAAAGTGCATGATAGAACATTCCACCAGTACAATCCCAATTTTCTGTGCTATTTTTCTAGAAAAAGAAGTGCAGAAACTGACCATAAAGGCCTCCCTTGTTCTTTTACAATTGCAACAGCACGCACCTGAGAGGTGCTGAAACTGAGTTCCAGTTAGTTACGGCTAAAAAAGAGCACTGCTTATTATATGGATGTAGTGATATATAGAAATTATAAATGCGTCTCGATGCCCCAAGACCCACCCCTGAAATAAATACACATGGACACTTATATTAGTTTAACTTTGGGGGCAAATTTTGGCCACAACTTTATTGAAATACAATCATGTGAGCGGTATTGGCTTAGGCTTTGACTCCCCACTATAACTGACTCCACCTCTCAGGGTGATCGTCAGATGGGGTCAACCAAATGAGGGAGCAAGCTTGATGAGAACCAACCTAAGCTCACCCCGGGGTTCCTGTGGTTCTGGCATGGCCCTAGCCCCTCAAGTGGACTTCAGACGAGAAACGGGACCCCCAGATTCCTTTAACAGAATACCCAGTTCCTGGAGGGGCAGTTGATGACCGCTCCTCCCCTCCCCACAATTCAACTGAGCCAATGCCTAACCATCATCTTACAAGTTGTGACGATTTGCTAAGGGGTAGGCAAAAATCAAAAAGGCTAAAGCCAATCTGCCAAATGGAAAAAAATTCCTACACAGCCACAGTTCCAAAACAGGCAACCCAAACCAAAGCAAGGCCAAGCGACTCTACCTAAACTTGGGAGGGTGGGCGGGTGTTCAGTCGTGCAAATGCAAGTGCCTCACTTGCATCACACTGCTGTTTTTAAAGCACCTGGGATCACACCACCTACTGGCTATTGGCTAAAACCACCTAGCATGATCCCAGTGGAATGGCCAGGACTTCCTGCTCCCCCCCCCCATTTTAACCCTGTCAGGTGAGCTCTTGGGTCCCGAGCGCAACCAGGACTCTGTTATGAGGATCCAATCTATGTGCATATTGAAATACACAAAATTCTGCCATCTACACCTTTATGGGGCAATGTGACAATTAGCAGAAGTGATTCATGACATCAATGTTTCTCAATCTTTCCAATAAAGTTTTTGAAAAAAACACCAGAGCATACAGGGGAGATGGTTCCATATCATGCCACAACGCACTTTCCACTCAATGCTAGCCATCAAGCCTACATCCAAACCTACACTAGACTCCTTTGCATGGTGAAGAACCAAAATCACCATGGATAAAGACTCTCCTTGACACATCATCCTACTAAGTAAGATTGGGATGAGGTATGAGAATAAAGCAGTCAGGTTAAACCATGCAGTCCACTCTGCATTGCAGAGCAATGAGTCACCTCTGAGCATGGGCGAAGATGACTGGGCTCCTCTTAAGCTGATTAGCTTTTCACTGGCACAACCTAAGTGGCCCACCACAGTGTGCAAAGATTCTAATACAATTGAGGGGCAGCAAGCTGCTCACATAAAAGGCTAAACAAAAATCAGCCTGAGCGAGTAACACTCATTATCAGAATGGCACAAAGCACCTGGAGGGTAACAGGGAGAAATTACTGTCTTCAATCCTAGCTCCTGCGGTCTCTGTCTGTGTCTGTGTCCGTGTTTGTGGCTGTCTTTCTCTCTCTCTCTTAATGTGCATGTGCTTGTGTGTGTGTGCGATTAATGAAAGTAAATATGATGTTTCAAAAGAGAGGAATTAACTTGCTGTTGGACTGCTGAAGAAGGATAGAACCCAAGGATTGAGAACTGAATGTGGTCTGAGGCCCAGACCTTTAACTACCCCCATAATGTTTTGGAATTCTTTTGCATATCATTATTGCATATATAGTCACTTTCCCCCATAATATAAGTTTTGGGTTTGATGCTTATGTAACTGTCTCCTCTCACAGGAAACACCCAACTATTTTCTGCAGAAGTTCAAGCAAGATAGCTCTGGTGGCAGATATAAAGGTCCTGACATTTAACGGTCATGAACATGTGCCCAGTATATCATTCTCATACAGACTCTTCCATATCACGTATTTCAGTCTCATATGCAGTAATATAGGTTGATACTTTCCATATTTGGGCTCCTGTATCAGCAGGAGGGACAAAGAGAAGTTGGACTTGCTTACCGCTTGCAAACTCTCTCTTCTCAAGAGTTCCTGATAGGGACACTGAACTTTAAAAGGCAAGAATCTCCTCCTGAGTTTGTCAAATGCTATTCTGAGACCCAATGTGGAATACAATCATCTTATCACATGATGCTGGCAAATGGATTACACAGAACTGAAGACACGTAGGAAGGATCCTACACATCTTGGTAAGAGCCATATGAGGCATCTTAACAATTTCTGAAAATCTTCCGATTACCTGCTTATTCCAGCACCACTTGCTGCTCCCACTCACCATGCCGGAGGGATGCTGATCCAAAGCTTTTGAAAGGTATGTGAATAGCTAAATTTGATGTCATTCATTAGCAAAGGTAAGAGGGGATCTGTAGCTGAATGGCAATGCTGTGCACCTTTGGCTGATAGGTGGGGCAAGCTAACTCCATGGAGTGTTCTGTTAGAAGGATACCAGGTGGATGGCTGGTGAAGACGGCAGGAATTTTTGGTTCCCACATCCAGTCAGAGCAGAAAGTACTAGGCAGGATGGACTAATGGTTTGTCTAATTCATTACACATTGTAAAAATCTTGCTGTCTGGCTTATCTATTGTGGGTCTTTTTCCGATTTTCATATTTCTTCTCAATCTCAATTTTACTTGAGTTTTATTTTATTCACTTTTGTTAAAAATCACATTTTAATAATAATAAAAAAACAGATACCTTCCCAATTCACTCTGGCTTTTGTTTTCCTAAACACAAGAGCTGTTCAACTCCTTCTCCCACTCCTCCTCTTCTCCTCCACCCAACCATTCTACCCTCAATGTCTGCAACACGAGAGGTTAGTGGTCTGAGGTCCAGAACTTCAATCATCCCCATAATACTTTGGAATGCTTTTGTCTATCATCATTACATATATAGTTACTTTCCCCATAAAATCAGTTTTGGTTTTGATGCTTTTCTAAGTGTCTCCTCTCACATGAAACACCCAACTATTTTCTGCAGAAGTTCAAGCAAGATAGCTCTGGTGGCAGATAACAAGGTCCTGGCATTGCGTTTTTCAGGTTGAGTTTTTTCGGGTTATGGACGTGCCAAAACCCGGAAGTACTGGAATGGGTTACTATTCGGTTTCGACGGTTGCGTGTGCACAGAAGCACTAAATCGTGCTTTGGGCATGCGCAGAAGAACCGAATCGCAACCCACGCATGCGAAGACGCACCACTGCAGGTTGCAAATACTGCGGGTTACAAACGTGCATCTTGCACGGATCAAGTTCCCAATCCAAGTGTCCACTATACACCATTCTCATACAGAGTCTTCTATATCACATATTTAAGTCTCATGTGCAGTAGTATCAAGTTGATACTTCCCATGTTTGGGCTCCTGTATCTCAAACTATACCACCACTAAGAACCAGGTGGAAGGGGACATGATGTAGGTCTCTCTCTCTCTCACACACACACACACACAGAGAGAGAGAGAGAGAGAGAGAGAGAGAGAGAGAAATACCATCTCTTGTTCTGGCTAGATTGCAGCCTTATTCAGATTGAGCATTTATTTTTTTCCTCTGCCAGGACTTCAACCGCCCATAAACTGGACCGTGACAGGTATTTGTTCTACTCTGAACTCAGTAACTTATTATTATAAATCTACTTGTTAATATCCACAGATTGTATATCTCTGGGGAGACAGAGAGGTAAACCCTCTTTCCATTATTTTCAATGGCAGAATTATATATTAATATTATTTTTTGAATTCATATAATGTCCTATAGCTGGAGGTCTCTGATGAGTGATGCTGGCAGTTCTTTGTGGTTCTTTTACTTTGTTCTTGGCTATTATTATTTATTATTATTATTAATAATAATAATAATAATAATAATAATAATAATAATATCTGCTATACCAGCTTATGCAGTGACAGTGGTGGGGCTCCCTGACCGAAAGTCAAGCATTTTTCTAATTAAAAATTCCCATTGGCCATACTCCATAAGCTCGGAGAGTGGAGAAAATAAATATTTGTCGTAAGCTCACCTAACTCTGCTCCACTTCCCACTGATCCTGAAGCCATCGTACAACATATATATATATATATATATATATATATATATATATATATATCACAAACATAAAACACATCATAAGTCATGAAGGGAAACTGAAGAGTTGGCCTTTATGAAGAGCTTGTTTTATGAATTATTTTCTTATTATGATGTGTCTTGTGTTTGATACACCCTTGTATGCATATCATTTATTGTGTACTCACAATGCTGTTAACTGGCTTGAACATGGGAAGATAAAGGTAAAACATGGCATCATCAGTAAGGATATTTTTGTATCCTGGTTGCCTGGTTCCTTCTGCCTAGAACTTGCTTACCCACTTTCCTTAAGAACTCCTTTGTATGACATGAAGCTTTAGAAGTTAACATTCTCCTCCTACAGAAGCCATATTGATAACCAATGGTGGGGGGAAATCTTACCACGTGATATTGAGAAGCTGCTGAAGAACAGATAAAAATTAGTGGCTGGAGCGCTGAACATCTAGCTGGAAGCTTGACGAAACACCTGCTGTTTCTTTGGAGTTACATTCATTTCTGAAAATGCTCTGTCCCCCTACTTTTATCAGCACAGAATATTCTACTTCCTTCTGCCTTCCACACACCATCTCCTAAGCGGGGGGGGGGGGTCAATAACTGGGCTCCTCTTAAACTGATTCATTTTGGACTTGAACAAACTAATTGCCCCAGCACAATGCTCTAATGCGCTTATCCAACCCACTGGCAGCAAGCAGCTCACCCATTCTAAAAGTGACATCAACAGCTAACAGAATGTCAGCCTAAACAGGGAACACTCACTATCAGAATGGCACGAAACAACCAGTGGCTTTTGGGGGGAAATTACTTTCCTCAAATCTAGCTCATGCAGTCTCTCTCTCTCTCTCTCTCTGTGTGTGTGTGTGTGTGTGTGTGTGTGTGAGAGAGAGAGAGAGAGAGAGAGAGAGAGAGAGAGAGAGAGCTCCACAACTCAAACCTACAGCACTCAGTTACGATGCTTTCAAAAGATTTTCACTTCTAACTATATCTCTCTTGTTCTTTTTTGTTTTTTAACTAATTTTTATTCTTTTTCATTGAAAATCTTCCAATTAATGACAAATCAAAGCAAATCATTCCATATTACAATAATAGCAGTACCACCAATTATATATTCTCCACAACCCAACCAATGTCTACGACACAAGATATTAGTTTCTGATCTGAAGGCTGAGTCAGAGAGCAGAGGAAGAGAAATTGAGTTCTAAAATGATATGCTTACTGATGTTGTGAATGTAGTTTTTTTCACTCAGAGGAAAGATCCACAACACATCGGCGAACTCCATTTCCCTCCAAAGCCTTGGAAACTGATAAGTTGTGACAAACATTCCAAAGAACTATATTCCTAAAGTGTTTGTTTATCAGTCATGAATTCCCACTATAGCATGTCTCTTTTATTATTGTTTGAGTGCCTCAGTTTAATATGGTTGGGCTTATAAGCCAAAACTGACTTCACATTTGTTTATTTTCTCCAGGTAGGAAGAGCAATACAAGGAGTAGCTCAAAAGTAGAGATCCTGCAAGATGAGCAATGATGGCCTGGGATCCAGGTCCCCTTGGAATGCCTCATGGGAAGACATTGGAGCAGAAAATCGAACTGACCTCCTAACCTCCCAGGATGGTTTTGATCACGAATCATCACTATATCTTACAGCAGTAAATATTCTATATTTCTTAATTCTAGGTATTAGCATTTTTGGACTTATGGGGAATGGGACTGTCATCTGGTTTCTTGGTTTTTGCATGAAGAGGAATCCTTTCACACTTTCATACTAAATCTGGCTGTTGCTGACCTTGGGGCCCTCATTTGCTTATCTTCTTATTTGATTGTGTATCTTGTGGTGTCATTTTCATCCTTCTCTGTGGATATTAACTTGTGTGTACAGTTGTTTGAGTTTTTCTTGTTGTTCATGTACAACACTGGTCAATCCCTGTTGACGGCCATTAGCATGGACAGGTGTGTTTCTATTGTTTTCCCCCTTTGGCATAGATGCCACCGACCACCACACTTTTCCACCTTTGTGTGTGCCACAATATGGATCATTTCTTTCCTGTTCTGTGTAATAGACTTGATTCTTTTTATTTTTAATATTTTTCTGGAACTCCTTTTCTACCAGCTTCTGTTAAATGCTGTTCTTTTCCTCCCACTTATGACTGTCTCCTCTCTGATCCTGTTTATAAAAGTTTGGTTTCAATCACAACAGAGGAAGAAGGGAAAAGCTTTAACAGCCATCCTACTTGCCCTCATAATCTTCCTCTTCTTAGCTTTCCCATTTACTTGCATTTCATTAATCTATTTTTTCAATCCACCTTTGGACTGTCATGTTTCATCTTTTAAAGTATCTGTTGTGTTATTATGCACCTGCCTGAATAGCAGTATTAACCCACTGATTTATTTCCTGATTGGGAGAAACAAGAGGGCTCAGTCTAGGGAGAGCATGAAGGTCATACTCCAGACACTTTTCAAAGAGGAGGAAAACTGCAGAGAGGAACAAGAAGTTCCAGTTCAAACCCAGATGTGAAGAAATACTTCAAAATAGCTCAGAAAGCTTCATTTTCTATCTCTTGGTGTATTTCTTGGTACTTATTTTCCCCTGTACTCACTATTTTATTATTTTGGATTCATTTACTCTGTTAATTTTTGTCCTCATTTCTGGAGTATCGTTAAAAGCCCCATGGATTGCCCATTTGGCAGGATTAATGCTTTGTATGTTTTAGAAAATTAAATAAAAATAAATGCCGCTTTAACAGTGTGAGTTGAGTGGGATGACTTGCTAAATGGTATAGAAAACAGACTCATTGCCAAAGGGAATGAAGTAAAGAAATCTTCACATGTAGAGCTCGAATGTTTGAAGAAAATAGAAGAAAACATTTTCTCCAGATTTTTTTAAAAGTGCATGATAGTTAATTCCACCAGTACAATCCCTATTTTCTGTGGTATTTTTCTAGAAAAAGAACTGCAAATATTCAACATGAAGGCCTCCCTTGTTCTCTTATAACAGCCATGGCACCCACCTGAGGCGTGTGGAAATTGAGCTCTGGTGAATTGTGGCTGAAAAAAAGCCATGTTTATATTGATGTAGTGATATAGAAATTATAACTATGTGCATATAGAAATCTACAACTTAATAGGGCAATGTGACAATTAGCAGAAGTGATTCATGACATCAATGTTTCTCCAACTTTCCAATAATTTTTTGAAAAAAACACCAGAGCATACAGGGGGGAGATGGCTCCATATCATGCCACAATGCACTTTCCACTCAATGCTAGCCATCAAGCCTATATATCCAAACATGCACTAGACTCCTTTGCATGGTGAAGAACTGAAATCACCATGTATAAAGACTCACCTTGACACATCATTCTCGTTAACACTTATTAAGAAGGATTAGGATGGGGCATGAGAATAAAGCAGTCAGGTGAAACCATGCAGTCCACTCTGCACTGCAAAGCAAAGGGAGCAGGGGAGAAGATGACTAGGGCTCCTCTTAAGCTGATTAGCTTTTCACTGGCACAACCCAAGTGACCCACCACAATGTGCAAAGGCTCTAATGCAATTGAGAGGAAGCAAGATGCTCACATAAAAAGCTAACCAAAAATCAGCTTGAGCAAGTAACACTCATCATCAAAATGGCACAAAGCACCTGATGGGTGCCAGAGAAAGATTACTGCCTTCCAACCCAGCTCCTACAGTCTGTGTGTGTGTGTGCGCGCACGATTAATGAAAGTACCGTAAATCTAATTATTCAAAAGAGAGGAATTAACTTGCTGTTGGACTGATGCAGAAGGACTGAACCCAAGGATTGAGAATTGGATGTGGTCTGAGGTCCAGAACTTTAATTACCCCCATAATGTTTTGGAATTCTTTTGCATATCATTATTGTATATATAGTTATTTTCCCCCATAATATAAGTTTTGGGTTAGATGCTTTTGTAACTTGTCTCCTCTCACAGGAAACACCCAACTATCTTCTGCAGAAGTTCAAGCAAGATAGCTCTGGTGGCAGATAACAATGTTCTGGCATTTAACGGTCATGAACTTGTGCCCAGTAGACCATTCTCATACTGAGTCTTCTATATCACATATCTAAGTCTCATGTGCAGCAATATCAAGCTGATACTTCCTGTGTTTGGGCTCCTGTACCCAAAACTATACTACCATTGCATAAGATACATGCTTTGTGTAGTGCTGAGAGGGGCATAAAACCCCCCAGAAGAACCCGAAGAAAATTCATTGGAATGGGATATGTAATGACTGAATGGAAAAAACTAAGAACCAGGTGGAAGGAGGCATGATGTATGTTGGTCTCTCTCTCTCTTTCACACACACACACACAGAGAGAGAGAGAGAGAGAGAGAGAGAGAGAGAGACCATCTCTTGGTTGGTCTGGCTAGATTGTAGCCGTTTTTCCTTGTCCCCAGGATGGAATGAAGAGTATTCCAAAAAAATAGAGGCTTTAAAGAATTGATGCATGTGGGATTGGGCTGAAGTATGTTGAAGACCCACCCAAAAAAGCATATCGGCCTTCCACACATTTCAAAGTTTTCCCAACAGGATTGAAGAATTAAATAGATTAAGGCCTGCCAGCAGATCATCATGGGGAGGATAGTCCTGTTCTGTTCAGAAGCTATATGAGCATTTATTTTTTTCATTCGCCAATACTTCGACCGCCCATAAACCGAACCGTGACAGGTTCTTGTTCTACTCTGAACTCAGTATCTTATTATTATAAATCTATTTGTTAATATCCACAGATTGTATATCTCTGGGCAGACATAGAGGTAAACCCTCTTTCCATTTTTTTAAATGATAGATTTATATATTATTATTATTATTTGTTGAATTTATATACTGTCCTATAGACGGAGGTCTCAAGTGATTGATGCCAGCAGTTCTTTGTGGTCCTCTTACTTTCTTCTTGGCTATTTTTTTTCATTTGAATTTTTTCCCCTGCTATACCAGCTTATGCAGAGATGGTTGTGGGTCTCTCTGACTGAAAGTCAAGGATTTTTCTAATCAGAAATTGGCAGTGGACTATACTTCATAAGCTAGGAGAGTGGAGAAAATAAATGTCAACAGTGAGGTATCTGTGCTGGGAAACACCCTGGTAATCCCATGGATAGTATTGGGCATTGATGTCAGATGGTCAGAACATTGAGGAAAGGGAATGCTTCTGACACCTGAGTGTTAGATAGATAGGACAGCCAAGCAAATTCAGAGCTGAGCAGTTCACCCTTCCCCATGTGAGAGATGGACAGAGAGAATGTGAAGTGAGGAAGCAGAGCTGAGTAGAAGGTTATTTGTCATAAGCCACCCACCTCTCCTCCACTTCCCACTGATCCTGCTGCTATAGTACAACAGATATCAAACACAAGGCACATCGTAAGAAGAAAACACATCATAACAGCAAGCTGAAGAGTTGGCCTTTGTGGAGGGCTTGTCTTTATGAATCATTTTCTTCTGGTGTGTCTTATGTTTGATACAACCTTGAATGCAGTTAAGAATCTCCTCCTACACCAGCCATCTTGATAACCAATGGCAGGGGGGGTCTTACCTCATGATACTGACAAGAACAGATAGAAGAACTGATAGAAATTAGTGGGTGGAGCCCTCAACATCTTGCAGGAAGCTTGATAAAACATCACCTGTTTCTTTGGAGCTACATTCATTTCTGAAAATGCTCTGACCCCCTACTTATTCCAGCACAGGATATTCTACTTCCTTCTGCATTCCACACACCATCTCTGAAGATTGCTGATCAAGAGTTTCTCACAGGTATGCAAATGTTTCAAGTTGATGCAGTTTATTTGTAAAAGCAAGAGGGGAACCATAATTGGCTGGCAGAGGTGTGCATGCAGGAGGAATACCCTTGAAGAGATACCAGTTCCTTTGTGACATAAATGGCATTCCTATTATTCTTTACTATATGCATTCTGTGATTAGAGAGCACGGATGAGAGCAGATTAGGGCACAATAAACTTTAGATTAAAATATCATTGTTGTTTTTCCATATGTGAGCCATGAGTGACTGGATGGTTTGTGTATTTGATATGTGGATTTAGGAACAGATTCAGATGTGTTACTCTACAGAACAAAATTGGATAAATAGTAACAAAAGCTACATATGCTTATTCTTAGTGCTCTGGCACAACTCGGTGACATCTGTTATCAAATTTATGTTCCAAATTTAACAGCTAAGTGCTGATTGTATCAGAATGAGAAATGGTGCTTAGTTTTGCATCTACGCTGCAGCAAGAAGAAAAAAGAGGAACTAGCGGCAGAACGAACAGCACAGTTAGATGCACTTTGCCCATGCTTGAAATCCTAAGTAACACAAAATGTATACAGTGGTACCTCGGGTTACATACGCTTCAGGTTACATACACTTCAGGTTACAGACTCCGCTAACCCAGAAATAGTGCTTCAGGTTAAGAACTTTGCTTTAGGATAAGAACAGAAATCGTGCTCCGGCAGCGCCGCGTCAGCAGGAGGCCCCATTAGCTAAAGTGGTGCTTCAGGTTAAGAACAGTTTCAGGTTAAGTACGGACCTCCGGAATGAATTAAGTACTTAACCTGAGGTACCACTGTACTTGGAACATAGAGGCAAATGTCTAGGGTTTTGTCTGAAACAATAGGTGGGTATTTCAAGTAATCAGTTCCCTGTTTCTTCTCTGTCATTTCCCAAAATCCTATTGACCACTATGAGCAAGGGATTAATTTGGAGGGTCCCCTCTCCATTTGTGTCTTTTCCCCAGCCATTTAATTAACATATTTATCGTGAAAATAGATAATGGCCATATCTGCCCAATTCAAACTACACAAATTTTCAAATGTCTCCATTTATATCTATGGCTGACCCTCTAACATCCCATGGGATATATAAAAACAGGTTCTCAGGGCTCTGCCACACCTCATTTGGCCTTCCATTTCCCACCAGGAAAACCTTCTCCTTACTTCTGAATCGAAACAAATGACCATTGGGTTTTTCCACAGATTGCTGTTCATTTCAATTCAGAGGAGCAGAGCATGGTTTTCAGGGAAAGCTGAACAGCAAAGACAAGGTCACTTGGACCGGTGCCTGGAAAGAACCTGAAAACTGCGTGAAACTGTGCCTTTTGGAATGGGACTGGTGGAAGGTGGACAAGCCCTCAATCTGAACAAGGAAAATGATCCAGCCAGAAAGTGCCATGTTATTTACTCTACATAGATGTTTACATACATATGTGTGCCTGAAATCTTATTCAGCCATTCCATTCTGTTCTCCTCTCCCTCCTGGTTCTCCATTTTCCCCCTCTTAGACATTCAGAAGCCCCCCCCCCCGGTCTGATTTCCAGGTTCCATAGTTACACCTGTGGGGCTCCATACACACCATTTATTCAAAGCATATCATTTCCCCCAAAGAAACCCAGACACTGTAGTTTTACCCCTCACCCAGTTGTTCCTTGCAACTTATTTCCTCACTTTTCTCAAGAATGCTTCTCTATGACATCAAGACTTTGGAGGCAAGAACCTCCTCTTAACTTTCTTGACAACCAGTGAACAAAATTCTTCTTGCCACAGGATGTTGGCAAATTGCTTAAGAACAGATGAAGAGTAATGGGTGGAGCCCTAAACATCTTGCGGAGAGCTTGGTGATACATCCATTTTATCCTCCTTGGGGTTGTAGTCAATTCTGCCAATCTTCTGACTACCTCCTCATTCCAGCACATGATTTTTTGCTTCTTGCTGCCTCCAACTCACCATTTTCTTAGACCGCTGATCAACAATTGCTGACAGGTATGTGAATGTCTCAAGTTGACATGGTTCATTTGCAAAAGTGGGAGAGGAACCAAAGGCAGAAGTGTACATGCATTTCAGGCAGAAAAGCCCAGGTTGAATTCCCGGAGAAGGGAATACTGGGCTGGACAAACCAATAATCTGCCTCACAAGTGCTCTGCAGTAGGGATACAACAGTTTACTGGTGGTGGCAATTGTCCTTCTTATGATAGGAATTGCTATGTGAGAGACAAAGAATGGGGATTGAGGAGGGTCAATAGGA